AAAAGGGACTTCAAATTCACGAGCAAATCAGCCATCGTTGGAAGACCTAGTCAAACCACCTCACACTTTCTTTTTTTTTTTTTGGGGAGGCGGGGGCTGAGGTGTCTTAAGTCCAGACATAGTAGACATATCGGGAAAGATTTGTAGTAACATTTCAGACCATTAAGCTTTTTTGTTTCTTGCTATCAATACTAGGAAATATGTCTTCAGAGGAATTATAAGAACTTTTTTGAAGCATGTTAATTTAGCATTTGAAGCTTTACCATTGAAGAACTAGCAACTACTATTCATAACAAATTTTTATCCTTCAACTGAGAATCAGCTGGCTCACATCATTTTAACAATCATCCGGGAGCATAAATTCAGATAATAACTAAAAGAAACTTGCTTCTTGTCCCACCAAATGATGCGGCTAAAACAGGGCACCAATCTTTTGTCCTTAAAGGGAGGGGAGAATATTGAATGTTTACCATTACATGACATCTATTGTACCATCACGAATGAAAACTTCTATTTGTTTTATCTCATTTAAACAGACAAACCAACAAGACAAGCCAAAGCCATTGCTATGCAGGGCAAATTGGTCGGTAAAGGGGATTTACTGCAGTTCCATACCTTCCCACAACCCCCAAATTCTCAATAGCTTTCAAAATCAAAACTCCTTTTGACAACGCAAGCTATTGTAGCCCAAAACAAGTTAAAAATTTCTCCGCAGCTTGGGAAAGTTTAGGTTTGTATAAGTTGAATTATCAACGTTACCCCTTCTGAAGAACTGAAAGGCATGGCTATAGATTTTAACTCTTTTACCCAGCACATGCTTCTTTCCATCTCTTATTATCTTTGAGAATATTTGCTGTAGAAAAGAGGTATTCTGTGATCGACATAAGTCTCCACTGCAGTATACAATTTAGTGAAGTGAACCAAGAAGCCCAGAAAGTTGCAAAATTTATTAACAATAGATGATATATTACACATTATGAAGTATAATTTTTTTTTCCAGAAACAATAAGATATATATATATTGATCAGGTAAAACTGTACAATTGTCGGGCAACGGCCCAAATTTCACTTTACAAAAATGTACCTAATACTGAGGATTATCCCATTCCTCATCTTGAGCTATGCTTAGTGCATAATTACAGACTATGTTGATTCTATATCTATTTTCTTGAGATAACAAACAAAATGAGAATTTCAAAAACAAGAGACTTAAGCGATCTCAGTAGTTGCAGAATGCCTTCGAAAGGTACTTCCACTATAAATGATTAATAGTGAAAAAATTCAGATCAGAGTGAAGCTGATGAAATGATAAGTAATATCTATAATAGAATACAATAATCAAGGAAAAGAGGAACAAACGATATTCCAAATAGCATTAACTCCACCAAAATCTACGTCCATATGTTTAATCTAGACAAATCCAAAACTTGCAATGATGAACGTTCTGCGATGTAAAAGAAATGAAAAATAATCCCAGGCAAAGGCAATCAAGAAACTCTTACAACCATCTTATTCTTCTTTCCAGCAGATAAAAGAATAACTTTTCCGTCTATAATATCATTTGCCTCAATCTTTTTTGCCTCGCTGTCAACCCTACTGTTGTTCAGATAAAGCCCTCCTTGCTTGAGTAGACGCCGTGCTGCTGATTTACTCTCAAGCAATCCACTTGAAACCGAGAGATCCAACAGAGACAGACTCAGGACCTGATCGTAAGGGAGCGAACAAGAAGGAACATCCTCTCTAATCCCCTCAATGGTTTTAGCATCCAACTTGGTAGCTGCCCCAGGCCTCAAAGCCTCAGTGGCCTTGAGAGCCTCGTCCAGACCCTCTTGACCATGTACAAACCGAGTAACCTCCTCAGCCAGCCTACGCTGGGCAGTGTTGGGAACATAGCCAGGGGTATCCATGTCCCTTTCCAGCTGTGCAATCTCCTCCAAGCTCAAGAAAGTAAGCATCTTGAGGAACCTGACAACATCATCATCAGGAACCGAAAAGAAATACTGGTAAAAGTTATAAGGGGTAAACTTGGAAGGGGAAAGCCAAATGGCACCATCCTCTGATTTTCCAAATTTAGTACCATCACTCTTGAGGAGGAGAGGGAATGTGAGTCCGTAGGCTGCCCCTTCAACGCGAAGAATTCTGCGGATAAGGTCCGTCCCGGCAGTGATGTTGCCCCATTGATCGCTGCCACCGATCTGAACAGAGACTCCTTCTTGGCGAAAGAGATGGACAAAGTCATAGCCCTGGAGGATCTGGTAGGTGAACTCAGTGTAGCTCATGCCCTGATCAGATTCAAGCCTCTTCCGGACGCTTTCCTTGGACATCATGGTGCCCACCCTCGCATACCTCCCAACATCCTTGAGGAAATCCAGCAGCCTAACATCTTTCCACCACTCATAATTATTCAGGATAGAAACAGAATCAGGGGTAGGAGCAGCCCTGCTAAGAATGTGGCGAATGGTGGCGGAAATCCCAGAAATGTTCTTATGGAGGGTTTCAAGGTCAAGCTCAGGCCTTTCGGAACTCTTGCCAGAAGGGTCACCTACGCGGCCGGTGGCTCCCCCGATGAGGGCGACAGCACGATGACCGCAGCGGAGGAACCAAGAGAGGACAATAATGCCAAGGAGATTGCCGAGGTGGAGGCTATCAGCGGTGGGGTCAAAACCACAGTAGACTCGAAGAGGTGGTTGGTTAGGGGCGGAGGAGGAGCAGACGGACCTGAGACCATCGCTGGTGAGAGATTCCAGCAGGCCCCTCTGTTCAAGAATTTCCACCACATTGGAGGAGGTATTGGCGTGTGAGCGTGGAAGTTGGGAAGCAACAGCTGCTGCTTCTTGTGAAAGCAAAGAAGAAGTAGAATAAGAAGCGAAGTGGTATCGGTATGGAAATGGTGCAAAAGCTCGGAGTCCTTTGAGAAGAAGACAAGAGCGGTAGGAGGTGGAGGGGGAAGAAGGCAACCTGTTTAGTCTGAACAAGGCGACCGCCCCAGCCCCAACAGCAGCAGCAGCAGCCGAAGCCGCCACAGACATCTCTTCTGCTGCTAGATATATATAAAAGGGCATGAAACTAAAAGATCCTTTGAAAAAAAAAATCAGAATTTAGCAAACGCCAACACCAGTGGAGTGCTGAAAAATGAGACTCGAGCTAAATACAGACTACTCATTCAACAGCCAACCCAGCAGCCTCAAAATGTGGAATTAACAAACAAAGCCCCATAGAGCAACCCCTTCCTTTGTAGCAGAAAAATGGAAATGTGCAATTCTCCAAGGCTCCCATGAAAAGAAAAGGACAAATAGATAAATAACAATTACAGGAGAAGATGTATAAAGGTTATAACCATAGGAAAAATCCCATAACCCCTCACTCCCCAGTCGAAAAGATGCTGTACACATTTCAATTGAAATCACAGAGAAAGATTCAAACTTTGATTTGGGGAAAAAAAAAAAAGGCAACATGCAGCATGGAGGACTCGGATATATTTGTACTACTACTAACTCCTGATGGCATAGAAGGTACAAAAGCTTAGTAGTAACCAAGAAAGGGATTTGAAGGCGGGCTTCTTACCACTTACAATAGTATTTTGTTTTGGTACTGTGAAAAGCTTGAATCCAGAGAGGGCACAGATAGAGATGTGGGGTGGTGAAGTTCTTTGGTTTGCGGAGGAAACCGGTCTCCTCAATTCTTTCTCAGTTCTTACTGACTACAAAAGACAGCAAACTCGGTATCCTGCGGACGACTGTTTTCTACTCCAGCACCAGCAGTGGAAAGGCAGGTTTCCGGAGCAAGGGATGATACATAATAATAGGGATAATTTTAGAAACCTCCCTGAGGTTTCTAATAGTTTCACTGTCCTCCCCTGAGGTTCTAAACATATAACTAACCTCCCTTAAAACTAATTTTCTTGTAACAATTTAATCCAATTCAAAAAAGTAACAATAAAAAAATAATTTCAGATGTGAGAAGATTTGTTTATACCAAAAGTGCCCCTCAATTATGATATTAGTTACATTAAATATTTGATCTAGCTTGTTAATTTACATATGGGGCCATTACTATACATGATCAATAAAAAATTTATATTATCCATACAAAAAATAACAACTTCCAAAATTTAACAAAACATTTTTTTTCATACCTTAAGATTCTTGCTATCACCACAATTATAAGAAAATTTAGCTCAACTAAAATCTCTTAATATTTGGTTCCTTTTTTGTTTATCAAGTGCATAAATTGAAAAAAAAAAACTGCCTAATATTTGATCCCCTTTTAGATGCCAAATTAGATTTTTTTTTTTTTTTTTAACATTTCAAATTATGGGAAAGTTAGTACGAGAGCATCTGGCCTACTAAGTGTACTGAAAAGGAAAAAAAAAGGATATAAATAGGTAAAATAATCCCCGGAATGGGAAAAATTACAATAGCTTAATCATTGGAATGGAAAAAAGTATTTTCAAACTCGAACTCTGAAAGCCACCCCAAACAAAAAAATTGATGTTCATCATGAAACATCAAGCACAAAGAGAGAATTAATCCCCTAAAGTCGTCATCAGGGCAAGTTTATCCACCACCCTCTTACAAATCTAGACATGCATTAAATTAATCCCGCTCTACCCAATGCTTGTGTTTGTATTAGAAGTGCAAACAAATCGAATCGAATTTTGATCTAATCAAGTCGAACCTCTAATTAAACTCAAATTCAAGCCGAGCTCGAGCTCGAGCTCAAGCTTAAAAAATAAAAAAATAATTATTATTTTATTTTTTTAAAATGAATAAAATAATAATTTTTCTTAACAAATAATAAAATATTAAAAATATATATAATTTAACTATTAAAATAAAAAATAAAAAATATATATATATAATCAATCTCGCAAGCACCAATCTTAATATTTTTGAACTCAAGCTCGACTTGATTAGCTCGAACTCGTATTCCAGCTGCTTGCAATCGACTCGCAAGCGACTTAATTCGTGAACAGCCCTAATTTGTGTAGACCAATTTTCAGTAATAAGAAATTTTTTCCCCTATTTTATTTTGTGGAAGTAAAAGATATGACAAATTAATGGTCCTTGTATGAATGGTAACTTTTGAACCTCATCCTAACGTGTATAGACTTAATTATAGGTACAAAAGGAGTCGTACCAAACAGCTGATCCTATCTTTCAGCGAATTCTACGAGCCTCCGTTCACTAACAAGAAAAGAAGGAAAACATGAATGCGGTTTAGATCCTCATAACTAGGTTGGTTATAGACAAAGCCTTCTAACCAACAACTTCTGATAGCAGCAGAGTTGCTGTTGCAAGCCAGTGTTTGATCACATATGCTTCCACAGCAGTTTCAAATCCGGGGCAGTAGGCAGTAGGCAGTAGACAGGAAATAACCTCCATCTCCATGCATGCAACCCCCTCCCCCCAACAGAACATCCTGTCATCTTGGGTCAGACAAAATCAACCATTGGTGCAGAGCAACTCCAGATGCACTTCTGCTCGTTCACTGTACAGAATCTCATTTTGTAACTAACGAACAATAAAATGTCCCTCAGATACACAGACCGCGCACCCTATAGGGACAAAATTATGCCAAGTATTCTATATTTCCACAGCACAACTAACGGTCGTAAAGGAAAGCATTTACACTATGCTAGTCTTCCAGGGTGAATCAAATATGAGCCGCACCAAGCCAAGAAAGTGCCCAACAAAGAAGAAATTTTGGTCAATGTTCACTAAATCTCATGAAGATTGAGCTGATGCCCAACAGCTCATGCATCATTGGAATCTACCAAGGGAAGGAGCCAACTGAAAAAGCCAACTCTGGTTTCACCTTTTAATCTCTTGGATCCGTACTCACCCATCATATTCCAAAGTTCTCCAACAGTCCACTCATGGGATATAATCCAGCGAGTCACCTAAAAGAGTGAAAAACACAAAGGGAAAATTGTCAACAACCAATGGGCATGAAAAGAAAGTGTCCATCCATAAAATAATGAAACGTGGTCCAAAGTTCAATCAGTCGCATCTAAGAATCTAATGAATAATAGGCCACATGTTAGACCTATAATTCGTAAAGCGTAGACACAGTATTCAGCAGCATAAACAATTGACAAGAAATTATTTCAGTACTTGAAATGCAACAGCCACATCATCGGGCACTAAATTTGGTAAAGTTTCAATCGTGCTCCTTCACCACCAATTTGTTACTTTTTGAATTTGAACTTAGTCTGCCACAACCTTAAAAACAAGGGAAGTTCCTTGTTCAAGAAATGACAATAAATTTAACAGAACTCCAAAAGATAATGGCAACCATCTTTGAGCTATAGGTAATAAATGGACAAAATGAATTTGAGTCAAAGGGGCAAACTAAACCTTGGCAAAGGTAACCAACCAAAGGATAGTTTGCCTTTCAGGATTAGCATTAAGAAAATGCTTGGAGGAGACACAACACTTAGTCACAATTTGACCATTTGATCACATCTCTAAAAGAAGATTGCAGGACTATAATACAGTTTGTTCTTCACTTTTAGGAAACCCCTTTTGAAATAACAATGCACAAATAGCGGTCAATCGTTTACTTTTTATAGCTTGGCCTTGAAGAAGCTGACTACAAGTGCATGTGGATATACATGAGAATTGTGCAGGTAAGTGCAATAGGAATTGGGACCCAGAAGTGGAGAACAAATTATGATGGAGGGAGTAAGTGTCTGAATACACAGAAATACTCCAAAGATCATCCCTTTTTAAGGCCACATACTCAAAGCTGACAAAGTAACCAAGACCACTTGTCCTTTACTTATTTTGGTGCTCCTAAAACAGAAATCCATTATTCAGCAGAAAAACAAAAAAAAAAAAGAGAGAAAATCCCATATACATTCAAATCAATACGTTAAACATCATTTACAGCTGGCAGAAGTTAAGTACCTGGTCTAGCACCTCCAATGTCTCCAAACCAAATGTGTGGTACAAGATGAAAGGTCTTAAAGCCTGGAACATAGGATAATATCAGAAAAATCATAAAAGAACTGAAAGGAGAAGACTAAATAAAACCAGTTGATAACAAAATGCACGAAATCTATCAACTGATGTCTTCGGAAAGAGAAAGAATGTCCATATTGTATATCAAATAATTATGGTATTACACAAATAGGATATGGGCCAAGCATCCGTTCCTAAACCAGATTCCATTACAACAGCAGTAGAAAAGATTTAGTAAGTCACATGTTTGCAATTCATTCAAGAATTCAATCATGATGACAGAAACGAAGACGCAAGTAAACAGCAGCATATATCAAGAAGCTATCTCAGAATGAATTTGGACTCAACACAACATCATGACAGATCCATTTTTTCTGCAAGACAATACATTAGCTCAACATAGCTCAGCAACTTTCTCAGTATTATCAAATAACATATAGAAATGGTTCACCTGACAATTAACATGGATATCTAATATTTACTAGGAATAGAAGACTGAGAAAGAAGAATTAGAACAGAAAACAGAACGCAGTAAATAAATCTTTCCAGCCTAGCAAAATGTCATAATGTCCAATATGGAATCAGTTTATCACACTTGGTGCATTGCACAACATAAAGAAGCTGAAAATGAAGCCTGTAGAGGGCATCACCTGAGAAGCAGCAAGCCACTGAATAATAGCTTTAAGTTGAGGATCCCCACCAAAAGCACCGCAACCCCAATTCCCTGTGACAATCCCAATTTCCTCTTGATGCTGCGAAGGCTGAAATGCCTTTGTATGAAGGCACTGATTCAGCTGATTTTCTGGTGCTCCTTCAGTTATTTGATATGAAGTTGAGGGACCTCCAAGAGTCTACCCAACAAAATTGACAAATAGAAGCAAACAGCTGTTTGGTTAGTGCAGCATATACTGAAAACTTCCACAATATTAAGAAAGTTACACAAATTAATACATTTAAAAATTCTTCAAGTTCAGTTGAAGGTAAGTCATGCATTAAGCAAAGAGAAGAAAAAGAGGACTAAAAAAGGGTTTGCAAAAAAATCTCACCATAGCATCATTTCTCAATTGTTCTCTCAATTTCTTTACGTCAAAATCAACATCAGATTCCCAGTGTTCATCATATTGGAACAAGTCTTGATACTGCTGATACTTAGACATATCAAAAAAGCCACAGAATGCCTTGTTAATCTCCCTGCCAATCCAAAACAGAGAAGTATTAGAGAAGTTTGTCTAATACACAAGATATCCATCTAAATCATCTATGCTTAAGACAAAGAAAGATAACCCAATACCATAATGGGATAGTGGAAAAAGATTATAAAGGGCCTAATGACGAGCAAACCTTGTCATAACACCCATACTATGTCCCAGATTCATTCATTTCCATCAACCTTTACCCTAGATCAAAGACTTTTTCATTTTAATCCACATCCTTATACTTTCTGGTAAATGGGTTTAGATTAGATCATAAAGAACCAATACAGTTACTCTACCATTCATTCCCAAAAATGAGCACTTAATTGTAAAGAATGAAGTTTCCTACTACCCATCAAAACACCTGCTAACATGTATGGCAGTTGGGTTCTTTGGATGGTGGAAATACTTCAGACTGATGTAGATTAGCATGCCAGAATGCTATCTGTTAAATCCCAAAACATAGAGAGGCCAGCAGCAACAAACTTCTGCAATCGCACGCTATTAGGCAAATCTAGGTGTCCCATAGCCTGATCAAAATAGATCAAGAAACAAAATTTATGTACCTCTGGAGGCATTCAGATCCATACTGTCTCCTCCCAGGACTACAAAGTGCATCTATAGCAATAATTCTTGTCTTCCGCCTCCCGAAAGAATCAGTATCCTTCTGGTCCACATAGTCACCAGAAAACCGGAATGAAGAAGCATACCTGCAGCAATCATACCAACAAAAAACTAAATCTAGCCGCTGCAAATAAAACGAATAAAAGATTTACATCATAGTACAATATAGAAAGAAACCTTGATTCTCATGTTGATATTAGTAATTAAGCAGAAGATTAACTAATATCATACTCTGTGTACCATTCTGAACACTCTTTGGCTCCATTTTTCTGATTCACAGTATACTACTCAACTTTGGCACAAATTGACATAGTGCAATCCCTGCTTCTGAAACTGCCACTAAAGTCCACCAAAATTATCCTGCAGCCCATTGAGCTGTCAAGATCATCCCAAACCCCGTCCACTTTATTTTACTCACCTCTTTGCATTATGGTTCGAAACCTACTAGACCCATTATTCAAGTTTGATTTTGTTTGAAGGTTCAAAACGTTTGCATTAATCACATCCTCCTTTTTTCCAGAAAACAAAAGAAAATGATTAACATTGCAAATGAATAAAACCTTTCTGTGCAATATGCACATGGATCCAGAAAAAAACAGTAGGAATTATCCTAAAAGAAGGTCAGCAAGCCCCGTGATATCATTATGCCTAAAATTATACAGAGCTGGTGTATTCTCTAAGATGCCAAGTATAACTCATCCTAGTTCATGATTAAAAATAACAGCCATAAAATAATTGCAAGGCCTGAACATTTAGCAAGAATTACAAGTTTGAACTTTGAATATAACTACATATAAACAACACAAATTACAACCATAATCAGGCCTCATCTACTAATTTCTATTAAAAACAGCATAATCATTCAAATCTCAAGTAGTCTAGGATGGAATTCTTAATATAAGACATAATTTTAGCAGCTTGTCTGGGATAGTTCCATTCAATATAAATGTGAAAATTCAATGAGCTGTCGTTGTTCCTATTCATCAATATGTCTCCATGCAAAAATAAATATGGTTCAACAGTAATCAGTTATACATACTCACCCTGTATAATTGGAAAACCTTTCTGTACCAACGACTTCTATAGCTTCATTGTCTGCCATTGAAGGCAAGAATAGCATGCCAGCCACCAACTCAGGGTTGATCATAAAACGGATCTCTTCCTGAGACAAAGATTACAAACTAAGTAGCAGGAAAGTTTTTATCATTCTCAAACTCTTCCTTTATAAATTTAAAAGTCTAATGTAACCTTAGTTCATGTCAGAAAATCACACAACAAACAAATAAACATGCAGGATTGTTCTAATCAAGAAAACACTGAAAGACCAGAAGAGAATCCTAATAGTGCTACATGCAAGTTTCCTAGCCCAAATATCTACCTTTCTGACCAAAAAGTCCCTCTTAAACTTAACAGTAACAAATGTCAAACATTCAATCATTCTAACACCAACAAGCATTTTTTACTATCTGAATCAGAACTCATTAAACTTATTTAATAGGGACAAGGTAATCCTTCAGTACTTTAACTTGAAGTTTCATAAAGTTCGTGGAAGAGTCTTCCAAAGACGTCGTGGAAGCCCATATGGGCTACCAAAAGATCTCCTTCATGTGGAGCAGCAATGGAAACACAAAAAGGCAGCAGGAAAGAAAGGGAGCGTGAAAAGTAGAGGCAAATGGCCAAGAAGGAGCCAAAAGGCATCTGGTGTTCAACTTCTCAACAAAGTCCAAATAAGGTAAATTACTATAAAACTTATCCTCCCGTAGAAAAGCACAGGTAATTTACTGCTGAAAAATATATCTATTTGGAAAACAAAAAGGATTATAGACCATTAACAAGTTGCAAGCATAATGCACATAGTGCATCACTAATAGACACAAGCTTTACAAACTAGCTTAGCAACAGGAATCAGATATGCAACTTCTAGAGATGTATGAAGGGTGATTAAGAAATTAAAAGCAAACTAAAAATTCATCAAAGCTGTTTCAAAAGAAAAAGAACACCTGTACACAGCCATGATGGAGAGCACCACCACCTAAATACTGGTTTGCAAAGTCCACTTCCAAAGCTTCATGTACCTGATCTTCAATTAAACCAGATCTTTGGACCTACAAAGAACAGCGAGGACATTAATAGGAGCACATATAAGAATCTTTAAGTAGGCATCAATTTGTTTTCAAGTTATGTGGTGGTTAGGAGTTTTTCACAATCAGATGTAATTTTCAATTCTATTCTTATAAGAATCTTTAAGGTTTGTGTGAGTTGTTAAACAGCATCACTGGTCATTCAATACCTCAAAAGGGCACAGAGGCAGATCAGATTTGATCCAGAAATCAGGCTTTGGATAAGAAACGCCAACAGCTCTCCGATCCAAAGGAAGAACTTTGCGCTCAAATGAGACATTGCCCGTAGGCATGCATAAGCATACCCTCTCAAAATAGTGAACAATGCACTTTATTTTGCTTTCCTGGTACTCCTCATAACACCCATATAGAGACCTGAAACAACATTAGTATCAGATATATCCACTTGCCGACTGAACTGAAAATTCAGATAAGAATCAACAGCACTCATTAGATTTGATTGATGAAGTTACAATATGCACAATCACTCCCAAAGTTTATAGCTTCTCTTCCACAAGCTTCGAGATTGTAGAGCCAACCTCTCTCTCTCTCTCTCTCTCTCTCTCTCTCTCTCTCTCTCTCTCTCTCTCTCTCTCTCTAAGTTGCCACTATCCTAGACTTTCAAGGTTTGACTGTGCTCCGACCACGATGACTGAAGTGCACATATCAAAATATGAGATGGAGACATGAAACTGTAAGTAGTAGGCCGTCAACTTCTTATGCATTATAATCCTTCTTCGTTATGTTAAATTAAGCACACACATGTGGTACACTAAGTGTATTCTCCTTCATGCTTTCTGATCTACACGCTTAATTAAAAACTCAAAGGCCAGATTTACACCAGGAAAATGTTGCCATAGAAAAGCTAAATTGAAGAAAGACTAAGTCTTGAGACAGTTAACAAAGCAGCCCAAAGAAACTTCAGACCCATAGGAACCTTGTGACCATCAGTTTCGAAGGAAAAAAAATCATCAGTTTCGAAGGAAAAAAAATCATCAGTTTTCGATAAGGTTGCCCAGGCCGGTTGGTCCTTGATATGAACAAAAAGGGCCTATAGAACATTGCTGGGAATATGGCAGGGAAAAGGTGTCAGTTTGCAACGACAAGCAAGAGTGCAAAAATAGCAGAGTAGTTAATAATGAAGAGGTATGCACAATTTATGATGATGCTGACTGATGGAATGATAACATACGCAAATAAATGATGAAAGTTGATCGTTGGGAGATATGTGGCACCTCTATTGGCAGCAGGAAATAAAGAAAAGAAAGCGCAAGAAAGCAGAGCAGCAATCAACTCCTGTTGGGAAATAAAACAAACACAACAACTATTAATGTTAACCAGAAGTGCAAATTGTAAAGTAGGAGCAGAAGCAAAGAAGTTTGCTTGAATCAAAATGCATAGAGAAAGAAGAATCAATCAAAAATTGAACAGAACAAACGCTTGGTGCTAGACTACTAGTAGGAACAAACGGCCAATAGAAACAAGCACAAAAAGAAGTCCGTAAAAAGTATAAAAGGAATTTGCTTCTTATTCTTACTTGAGAGAGAAGCACAAGGCCAGGCTGCTGGGAGTCCAACAAGCGGAGGCAAGTTGTATTACTATCAAGGGGCTGCTGCTGCTGCTGGTGGCGCCGATAATGGGTCTCCAAAAGGGAGGGCAAATTCAAGAGCAAAAGAGCCATCTTGGGCAAAACCTCCTCAAACCACTTCACCGAATCAGCCCTAGGCATCAACTTTTTTTTTTTTTTTTTTTGGAAAGCAAAGTGCAGTAGACATGTCATTACAATACGAATACGAGACAGAATTGATCAAAGAAGAAAAAAAAAAGGATAGACAGGAATTGATTGGGAAAGAAAAGTGCATACGTCGTCGAAGAAGAGGGAGTAGCCGTGGAGAGCGGAGGAAGAAAGGGAGGTGGAGGAATAGTTGAGGGAGCTGCGGAGGTCGGAGATGGCAAGGGAGAGGAGTTGACCGGAGCGGACGTTGCTGTGATGGGGACCCAGGGAGAGGGCTTTGAGAGCTTCAACGACAGGCGGGGGCCAGAAGAGAGAGGAGGAACAGAGATGAAGGGGTAAATACGGCAGAATTGACTTCAAGTCATCCTCCGACTCCAGCTCGCCGTCGCCGCCGTGTGAGTTCTTCTTCTTCTTCTTCTCCGTAGAAGTATCATTCTCCATTTAATTTAAATTTCACTACAACTTCCTTCCTTCTTTCAGAAATAGTATAGTGCTTCCCAGACAGACAGACGGACTCCCTCGCTCGAACGGACTTCCCACCAAAGCCTATTAGTACATTACTCATATGGCTTTTGACTTTGCCCACACGGCAAAAGGAAGAAAGGTTTTTGGTCAATTATCATCCATTAATTACCAACCAATGCAAGTAAGTAGTAGTGACTTCTTCTTCTTCTTCTTCTTTTCAATTTATTTGTTTTGTTTGTTCGCTATATCTTATTCTTACCAATAGTTGTGAGTGTTTCTTTAATGCAGCCACACCAATCTATGAATAAATGAAAATAGATATTTTTTTTTCTTCTTTAAAGCTAATAAAAAGTAACCAACATATGTCTAGTTCAAACGAATTCTCGTTACGGCACACTGCTGTTTGGATTGCTATTTTTAGCAGTTTTTGTAGAAATATGTAATGTAGCGAGTTGATGTGTGTGAGGTAAAAAGGTGATTAAGAAATTTATACATGAAAAACGTAAAAAAAATTTTCGAAACTAACAATCCAAACAAGGTAGACAAATCTTGTAAACACCTGCCCCTTTTTTTCTCTACGTATGTATAGCGACATTTCGACCTTGCAGTTGTTGTATATTGAATCAATCTTATGGAGATTGATATATATCTACCTAGTATATAAGAAAAGAGCCAGATTTAATGCTTTGCTTTCCTCTTGCCACGTGGTTTGTTATGTATCTGACAAGTGGCAAGTTGTTTAGTCTTCTATTTGTTTTCCTTCTTTTGCTATTGCCCCGTTTTCCCCTCAAATTGCATTGAAGCCTATTCTGTGCAAAATTCAGCCTACCTATTCTGAGCAAGTCAGTCCCAACCAGCTATGCTACCGCCGTTGAACCCATTTCTTGCCTTTGTTTTCCTTCTTTTGCTATTGCCCCGTTTTCCCCTCAAATTGCATTCCCCTCAAATTGCATTGAAGCCTATTCTGTGCAAAATTCAGCCTACCTATTCTGAGCAAGTCAGTCCCAAGTCCCAACCAGCTATGCTACCAAACCCAGCATCTCTTTCCCAAATTGCCGTTGAACCCATTTCCTGCCTTTCCTCTACCGCACGGCTATTCTTAGCACAAATTCGGCGCATCTGTCCTGAGCAATCCCCAATTCCAGCCGTAAAAAGTTTGGATTTTCCATGATTTGAGCGATGGGTTTTGTGGCTTCCTTCTTTAAGCCAGCAGGTCAGCTGCTACTCCTGCAGCCGCTTCATTTGCTGACCGTTCACATGGTCTTTGTACTTCAGAGCAGCAGAATTGGGTGCAGGTCAACTGCTTTGCTTACACTAACTGTTTTTCCCTCTTTCTCTGATATCCGATTAACCCATTTCTGTATCAATTCCGTCTCATGTTGCCGAATTCTTGGAGCCCCACGTGATAGTTGTACTTCAGAGGAGTGAAATGGGGAACTTTTTGTTAGGTATGCCATTCTATTTTGATCAGCTTTGGTGTTCAATTTTCCGCCTAAATTATGCTTTCTATTCAACCTTCATCATCCGTATGATTACGATTACAATTATCTGCTTGGATGTGATTTTTCCCTTATTCCAGTTATGCTGCGAAGTAGCGTTCCTATCCATTTAGCCTGTACCTTTTCCAGCGGCTGACGAAATGGGATGCACGTATTTATCAGTGCATCGTGCTGCCTTCTCTGCCTTGTGAGCTGCAATCAAAATCCTCCGACCCTTTACACCTTGTTCTTTGGAGCCTCTCTGGTGAGAAAAAAACTCCCCCTTTTTCCCCCCAAATTTTCCTCTTATGAATAGTTCTCAAATTAATAAATTCTAATATACAGATATATGTTTCAATTCATAGGTTCCTTTTGCTGCGGTTCCTTCGACCAACCTTTTAACTTGAAGGTCAGTTTGCTGTCCTCCTTCAATCTATCCACAGCTTTTCTTTTTTTGAGTGCCTATATTTTCATAAGTGAAATTTCACCTTTCCCTTTTCTTTTTTGTAGTTTTTCTTCAGTTTCTGCTTCATTTATTTTAAGTTTATTGGTGCTATTTGTTTTGTGTTATCCTTTATGAAACAAACGATTGCTTATTTGAGCAGGTGATTTTGTTAATTTGAATATTTGATTAAAAAACTTTCTTATAGACATAGCCTTACAAAATTATTGCTGAGTACCAGTTTAAACGATGAATATTGGGTTGTAAGGTCCCAGAAGCACTAGGTAGAGATTCTAAGGTCCCAGAAGCTACATTTGTTTAGCATGACAGAGCGGATCCATCTCACCCCTAAATATCTGACCATTTTAATCTAGCTATAAAATTATCCTAAATCTCTCCAGACCATAGGGAAAAAAAAACTACTAAGGAGTATGAACACGCTTGCCCAATTAACATATATGCCACTCAAAACTGATTATAACAACTGCACTTGAATTTGAACTTAGTGGAGATCAATGGCAGTCCCAGCTCCCAAGTATTTTATAGCTTCTCAGCTGTCTGATCATCCACCCCTGCTAAAAATAAACCACACTTTGGTAGATTTCGTTTTCATCCAGATAATCAGTCAAATAGTTCTGCCTTCTTCTCACCAAGTGACTTTCTGTTCATACAACAACTGGAACATCTCTCCTTTGTTGTTTTTCCTGGTCTATATTAATGCGCCAAATGAACTCAAAAAATTTCAGCCTTTTTAGGCCTTTACCCGAATACAAAAAAAAAAAATGAGTCTCATTTAGTTCATTGAGCTCTAATGGTAATAACTATCGAATAATCTGATTCTTACGCTTCTTTTCTTTGGTATCAATGCTGCTCTTTCCACGTAAAAGTGTTATGATAGTAAGAAACAAAAGATTATTTGGTCTTGCCATCTTTCACAATTATTCCATAATCTCTTGGGTATAATATGTTTTGTTTCCTTCCATAACTTATGCTTGGATCCAGTTCTATTTATACAGCATGAAGTTACTCAGAATTTGAATATCATTGCTAATTATTTATACTTTAAAACAAAAAAATTCAGGAGCTTAACTTTTCTGCTGAACTAGCATCTGCACTTGGAAAGCATGCAATTGTGTGTTTCATTCGCTACTATGAGTCAGATTATCAAGGCCAGAAGGAAGGCAAGTATAATATTGTCAAGGCATACACTGCTGAGGAATCAGCTCACATTCCAATGGCCATCACAACTGCAGAAACCAATGAAATAATTCCAGACCAACAAGCTACTGTCCTGCAGCCTACCAAGAAGACTGAATTTTTCAGTCCATCAACCAAAAAGATCCTTGATGCCATTGCTGAATCATCTACTGCTGCAAATGAACTGCCGCCTGCAGTGACAACAGCAAAGAGGGCCTTGGTTTTTGGAACTGTGCCTCCTGGAATTGGTTTGGATTCTGCTGAAGCTAATACACCTACCATGCTGTCCACCAATGCACCTGGAAGTCCCTTGAAGAAGCAGCGTGACGATGAACTCTGAACTTCCTTGAAGCCTTTTGAATTCTTCATTTTGCTAATGTTAAAACACTTTACAGCTGCATTAATATTGACATCCATTAAGAAATTGTTCTTTTGTGCACCTTAATGGATCTCAATATGTGATCTTTTGTAATTGCAGCCTATGATTGCACTTTATATTTGAAGATGTTAGGCTATTTATGAAACTACTTGTCAGCCTTTTGTCATCTTCTTTTATCTGTTGCAATACTAATGATTGGTGATGTTTTGTTTAGTCTCATATTCTTAGCTACATACTTGATTGATTATTATTTGCTAACAGATTATAGGGGGCCTAGGCTGTGCTTAGCACAGCCGATAACCCCCTAGTATATATATATATATATATACTCTGATAAGGGAAAGGGATACATATGTACACACACACTCCGACCAGGGGAAGGGGAAGGCACGCTATTGCTGGCATTGCAATTGACTAAAAAGCAGCTGGTATCAATAATCATACATACACACATAAATCATAATGCTTAACTTCACTCCCACTTCATTCTTAATCGCCAACCTAAGCAAACCCCCCACCTGCTCCTCCCTGACGCTGGGGTTCCAATGACCATATGCCCCCCCCTCCCCCACGCCACCCCATCTTCAAACCTTCTTCGATTCACACTATCATGTCCCTATCATAATGCAGATGGACAGATACACTTGAGGAGATGGACAGATACATTTGAGGAATACAAGCATTTGATAATTTTTCTCTCGTACCACTCAACAGATCTCTCCCCCACCCCATGCAATTAATTACTACTTATGTTATGTTGCCTTATTCCTGATATGATATTAGTCCATATTTATTAAGAAGAACCATAAAAAAGGGCGGGGAAGGGGGGAGGGGGGGTTGGAGTTGGTCGCATTTGGCATGGTTAAGGTTCGTTCACCTTTCTAATGTACCCGACCCATGAAACACATGCAGTAATATACCATAATACTCAGACAAGGAAAGAAAGATACGCCAAAAGAATCAAAGTTAACACTACAACTCAAGCTACTAGTAAGCAACAACAATCCACTTGTGGAAAAAAAGAAAGTTATGTAGTACTTGCTTACTACTACAATCAACCAGCCAGATGAATATATTTGCTTTGTCTTTTTGCAACACTTTACGCCAATGAAATAGTAGTGTAAATTGTGAGGAGACCAGCTTAATTCACATCATTATCATTTCCTACTTCCTCTTAGCCAGGCACTATAGGCCAGTCAGTGAAGGAATATACCCCCCCCCCCCAAAACAACACTTGGAGTATCCATGAGGAGGAAGAAACCTAAACATTCCATTCCACCCTTCCCTCTCAAGTTCCTCTCGCTACCACCATTTACTGAAAACCATGCAGGCGCACCACATATAAGGGAATCAAGGGTCATTCATTGGCCGAGCCAACCAAATTAAAACTTTGCCCGTTAATTGCAGTACCCCCTCATTGATTACTCTTGTCATGTCCCTTCATGCTTCTTCCCATCTCAACATTGTGCAGCTTCCTCATAATTATAACTATGCCAAGCCTGCGTTGAAGCTTACTGTCCCTGCCGCTCCTCCTCCTCCTCCAAGCCTGGCAGTTAAAAATGCGCAGCAAAATCCTGAACATGCAGCTGCTCTGTTCCCTCCTGCAAACCAGGTCTTGGTTCATCAAACTATTCTCCCTCAACCCTTTCTTATTCTATTTTCTGTCAAGATCGTTTACTTAATTTGCTCTATATGAGTTGAGTTTCTTGGCATGCATATCTTAGAGCATTACATTCTTGATTCTTCTGCTACCTGATGATCAAAATTTTTGTGGAAGGTTTTTCTTTCTCAATGTCTTGAGATTGAAGCATTTGTAATGTCCAGCAGAGTGTTGCAGCCATTGTTTTTGGAGATGGATCGCCCTCCAGGCTGTATCCTCTGACAAAACGAAGATCAGAAGGCGCCATTCCTATAGCAGGGAATTACAGACTGATTGATGCAGTTGTCAGCAACTGCATCAACAGTAACATTTCCAAGATATACGCTCTTACCCAATTTAACTCTACTTCTCTGAATTCCCACCTTTCCAGAGCTTACTCTGGAGCATCTCTGGGGAAGGAGGGCTTTGTGGAAGTAATTGCAGCATGTCAGACTCCTGAAGCAATGGGCTGGTTCAAGGTGAAGCACTTGACACTACGGATAACCAATTCTTTTCTTATTACTTGGTAATTCTTCATGTTACTAGACACCCTATTCACTGATCATTTGCTTGCATCTGTGTGTTCCTGCTTCTGACTTGATTCTAGGGACCTGCTGATGCTATAAGGAGGAGCTTATCAGTGCTTGAAGAGTATCCAGTTCTGGAGTTTCTGATCCTTCCAGGGCACCATCTATATAAGATGAATTACCAGAAACTTGTAGAGGCTCATCGGAACAACTCAGCTGACATAACTATAGCAGTTCATGGTAGCAGGAGATATGATAATCCAGGATTTGGCATTTTCACAGTGAACTCCAAAAACCAAGTTACTGGATTTCTCCGGGAGCCGGGGATGAATCCTGAATCGGTATGTTTCCTACATTGCTCAATTGTGTAAATAGGTTTTTCTTCCCTCTGAAGACATTATCATTTTCTGACAAACTGAAAGTTCTTCTATCTGTTGGAGTATTTAGAATCAAATTATCTTTGATGCTTTCGTTTTGAAGGAGGCCAGCTGCACTTGTTAATTTGCAGGCACAGCATTCAGCGACATTCACTGATATCCCCACCCAGTACAATATTTATCCTGGCATGGGGATTTATGTGATTAACAGAGATGTGATGATAAACCTTGTCACAGAACATTTTCCAACCGCGAATGATTTAACAGGCGAAATAATGCCTGGGGCAATTTCCTTGGGGATGAAGGTCTGTCTAGCTGATTCTAAGTTCTAACATGCTTTCATTCTAAAACCTTACCTGCATCGCACTTTTGCGTTTCTATCTTCTAACTAAGGGTGAAGTTTCTTTGTTAATGCAATAATGACTAGATTCACGCATACAAGTTTGAAGGGTATTGGGAGGATATGACAAGCATTGAAGCATTCTATCATGCAAATATGGAAAGCACAAAGAATGCAAGCACTGCTGCACATAAGTCAGTTCGTAACTTGGAATCCATCAATACCAGGAGCTTAACAAATGCTGAAACATCAAATATACACAAAAATGACTTACTAGTTAAAAATGTTTGTGCTGACAGCAGCTTTTACGACAGAGACAATCCACTTTATACTCTACCTCGACATTTGCCTCCAACTCTGATAACTGATGCTGTCATTGTCGACTCTGTGGTCGGAGATGGCTGCGTGCTAAGCGTAAGAAACTATAAACTTAGTAGTTATCAAAACCAAAACCAAGTGCAGTACCGGCATCAGTCACCACATTTCGCATCTTTTACTGTCAGAATAGTGCAGACTGCACAGTTTGTGCAATATAATGAGCTCTTATGATTTCTTCTGAGCAGAGGTGCAAGATCAAAGGCACGGTGGTTGGCATGAGAACAAGGGTCGGAGAGGGGGCGACCATTGAGGATTCAATAATAATGGGTTCTGATACATATCCAGTAAGTAGAATACTTACTCACTTTCACCTGTATTTGTGTCTGTCAGAATAAACAAACTACATTTGCAGGGAAGTATTGTTCAAGGGGTTAACGCAAATCATGGTGTCAGCAACATTCCTATTGGGATTGGGGAAGGTGCAGTCATTAAAAAAGCTATTGTCGACAAGAATGCAAGGATTGGCAAAAATGTTTTGGTACTCTTTCTAATCAATCATTACACACAACTATTACTTGTGAAGCAATTCTGCAATACCAGGACTTGCTTACCAGCTGCACTGATTCATTTTTTTTTCGACTCAAAAGAGTTGCTAATGCCAGTCATTTTGAAAAAGTTAAAAAAGGACTCTTCAATTTACTTCTCCTATATAATGCTGCAGATCATAAATAAGGACAATGTGCAGGAGGGAGACAAGGAAGCAAATGGCTACGTGATCAGAAAAGGCATAATCATCATCATAGAGAGGGCAATTATCTCAGATGGAACCATTCTGTGAAAAATTTCAACATCTGGTCCTCTCCACTTGCTCCCAAGGAAAAAAAGACCTCACAGGCTTCTTCCTTCAATATTATGTTGGCATTTACAATGACTAAATAGCTTCCCTTGGGAACCTCAAATGCATAGTGGTGAGCTCCTCTTAAGAAAAAAACAAAAATAGAGGATAAATCCATTTTAACAACCTCAAACGACAAGCGTATTCCTAATAATGGAGTAGTTCCCAAAAGGATGTGTACAAATTCACTAATGAAACATTTGAATTTGGGAACCTAGCAAGTACAGTAATAAATTAGAGCCCAGCATCAATAGGTAAATACTAATGGAATGGACTTTTAAATCCACAGAAAAGAATACAAGAATCATAGCTGAAACAACGCCAGAGCACAAATCAACAGTCTCCCCAGTCACCAAACAAAATCTTTCGCAATCAAATCATTTAGCCTCAAGTTTTCAGCATTTTCGCCGACTCGGTTCCCAATCCAAAAGTATACAGCTGCATAACAGGCACGACGCTTTATCAGGAGTTTAACCCATCATTTTTTTGGTGTAACTGATCAAAATGATGCTATAACATCAACTAATTATATACACAAGCTGGGTACAATCCAACACAGCTGCATAAAGCAATTTATGACCTGAAAGCTATGCTGCTACAAAAAGCTTATCAGCCTTGACTGATGTGCTAGCGTATCGCAACCACTGATTCAGGAACTTCAGTTAAATAGAACTGATGCATTAATTACACATAATATATCATGCCAACTTCAATAAGGCTAATGTGAGGAATGTTTAGAGCCACAGCAGGACCCCTGCAATTCTTGCGAAGGAAGGAGTATCCAATATCAATTACAAGCTTTTTCAAATACGAGGATGACCTTCTTGCCTTCACGTACGAGTGTCCCATAATATATGCCACGCCCGCTTCCTTGGCCTGGATCAAGTCCAAAAGCTCTTCCCTGACCGAGACATCCATGCCAGGGCTTTCTGGCAATTGAAATCTGACTTGGCGTCTCCTCATCTGTGGGTTCTCATCATCATAAGCTGATCTCAAACTCTGAAGAGTTAAAGATCTGCTACTCTGGATGGAGACAATTTCATCAGAATCATCCCACTCAGATACAACTAAACTTGAATTGGTTCCCACATTTCTGGTGCTTATCACTGCCATCCTTCCATCAAATGATGCATTATCAGAACTTGAGAACTGCGGTTCAACAGCTTCCATCTGGATGAACTCTGCTATACTTTGAATGAGCAGGTTTTCAAAGTTCCCATCATCTCGCTGTATATCCTTATATCCATATCTGACAATACAGCGATATATACGATACGGTCTTGGACAAATGCGGCCGACAAGGAAGCGTTCTTCAGGTGAGACATAAGGCACGGGGACCGATTTTACACAAACAAAAACCAATACCGAATGAAAAGCAGGGAGATTTGTCACAAAGTGTGAGAAGATAGGAGGCACTCCTGTTGCCAATTCTGAGTAAATCAGACCTATCCCAGGAACACGAACAATACCAAGGCTGGGGCCCAATCCAAGCAGCCATTTCAATGGAACTTTATTGTGCACATCAAAGTTGTACTTCTTACGTGTCCCATAATGCCAGACAAACATGATGAACATAAATATCACAGAGAGCAAAAGGGAGACCCATCCACCCTGAGGAACTTTGATGAGTGCAGCCGACAAGTAAGCACCTTCAATGATCCAAAAGAAAAGGAGGAATGCTGCTGCAAACAGGAGATTCCTTTGCCATACGAAAACTATGACGAGTGACATGAGAAATGTTGTTATAAACATGACTGTCATGCAAGCCAGGCCTGGAAACCAAAACCTCAAGGTCAAAACTTAAATCCACTTACAACTCGAATATTAGCTATTGTCAAAGATTTTTAAACATGCTGTGGAAGAAGAATGAGTATCCAATATAATAGATGTACCAGAGGATGAAATATAGTCTTCATGCATCTCAAGAAAAAGTGAGCTACCAATTAAACCCTGAAAAACATATATTAACGTTGCCTTTATAGGACAGGTTTGTCAATAGATATACTTTCACTCATACTGTTATTCTTTCTTTCTAGGAGAAGGAGAGGGAGAGACTGAGAGATAAAAACAAATCTCATTTTCTTACTTCTTCTGTTCTAGGCTTTCTAGTTGAATACTTATTTCAAAATGCATTTTTAAATCTCTCATAGTAACATTCCAAAGCACATTTACTGGTCCATGACCGTGAAGGTAAACTCCTTGTGATGTGTCTTTGCACAAAATCAGATATCTCATAGGCGTAACACAACACTCAGAATAAAGACCACAAACTAAACAAATAAAAAAAAATCCACTTCTTAAGGACAAGATTGAGGAAGAACACCATATTGCATCTTGCCTTTACAAGTTAATACGTTCATGTCACAGTTAGACCCTTATATCTGGTAAAGGCTGATGTTATTGCCAAAGCAATAAGTATCCTGCTAGAGCAATTTCCCAAAAAATGGAAAACTAGGAATAGAGACATGCTCTTTAATAGATAAGCATTCTTATCAAAATTGTACACTGCAAACAAACAACTAGAGATGCAAAATCCAGAAAAGGGAAGTCGGAAGGGCAGTGGCAGCATCAGCTGGTGAGTGGCTTAAAGGGCTCAAAAAGTTGTGGAAAAGTGAGAGGTTAGGAGAATTTTGGAGATAGTAGGATTGGTGACAGAGGGACAAGAGAGGAAAAGAGTGAGCATCATTGCCATTTTTTAACATCAGTCTTTGGTTAACTAAAACTTGCTCAACACTATTCAATTCAAATCAGATGAGAGGCATGACCTTCCTCGCCCAATTTTAGAAATAAAAAAAAAAAAGAAGAAGAAGAAGAAGAAAAGAAAAGAGAGGGAAAGGAACTCTTAGGCTAAATCAATATGTCCCTCTAAGTTCCACCTCTGCAAAACAACATCCATCCATCATCACCACCTGTCCCTGCATCCTTTTTCCTTATCCTATGCCACCACGAGAATCCAAAGCTCTCCCTCTCCTGTCAAACCAAATCCATAACCACCACCCAAACCACAAATCTCCCATTCACTCTAATGCCTGCCCTCACCTCCCAGTCTTTCCACCTTCCCAAATCTGCCTTCAAGCTGCCCCACAGCCCTCTCCTCTGACAAAACAATGCGCAGTTTCAATCCACCTAATGTCCTATATTTACTCTCCAACATCATAGTGAGCTCCTCCTTCCTTACCAAAAGTGCAGATCAAACCTTTCACCTCACATAAGCAGATATTTCCTTTAACCCACCCCAGCCCCAACCCCCAAAACCCAAAAACCCCTGGCCTGCACAAGACTTCCAACATTGCCCAGCCTCAGTTCTCACAGAAATCACCAATCTAAGGGCTTCAGTTTCTTCAAGTGCTTGTATGTTCTAAGTTGATGTGTGCAAGTTCTTTCCTCTGCTGGTGTGTCCCTATGTCTACACAAATTTTATGCAAGATTCTGGATTGTGTTTGTACATGCGTAAATACTATTTCATACATGTTTATGCTACTCTCTCTTTGTTTCTATGCTTTTTTTTTTGGGGTTATTATTCTGTGTTTTTAGGAGGACAGGGTTCTGCCTACCAAAGAAAGGAGAGAGAATGTTTTGGAAAGGTAGACGAAGAGGGCAAGTGCAGCACCAGCAGCAGGGCAGAACCCTTTATTTAGTTTCTGTATCAGTAGTTTGATACAGGAGTAAAAAGGAACGCAGGGAAGTTGGTGTTGGTATATACCCTACCATCATTCATGCTCAAGCGGCTAAATTAAAATGCTTTAGCTATACATTTCTAAATTTGAGGGAATGTAACTGTATGGAGAAAGCTGAAGGTATTGAACAGACAAACTCATTTGTCAATTTTTAATTCATTTGCAATCAGATGTAATAAATCTTTGAATGGTAATTGCCTTTCTGGTTAATTTTTCAATTTCTTTTGGTCAAGTAAATCAATTCTGTTAATTGCATCAAGATGGACTAATAATGAAGATTAAACAACTATTAACATATCCCCAAAAAAAAAAATTCAGGTGAACTTGAAAAAAGAGAACTATTGGGTAATAATCAAATGCAATAACCTATAGCATAATATATTTAGTTAACTTACCGTATGCATTCCCAATTGTAGTTGTATCCTGGAATCCAATTGCTATAGCAAGGGTAATAATCATGAGAATCCAATTTATTTCTGGTATGTAGATCTGCCCATATATGTGTCTTGAGGTGTGGACAACCTTGACCCTTGGGAAACAACCAAGTGCGTTACATTGTTTAACAATAGAAAATGTAGCTGAAATAATAGCCTGACTAGCAACAATTGCAGCAAGAGTGGCAATCACAAACATAGGCCAATATACGCTACCTGCAAAAGAGACCACCAGCAGAATGAAACGTCAAGTTTATTTCATGCAGAAACTTATGGGAGAAATCACAAATTGTATAGAAGAAAACTAACCAGGTATTGAGTCATAGAAACCACGTGGAATGGATGGGATATTTTTTGAGAGAAAAGCAGCCTGGCCCATGTATTGGATCACAAGACAAGGGTATACAACAAAGGTAAATGCTATCTGGAAAGTTAAAAACAGGAAAACCAACACAGTGAAAAGGAAGATCACTGATGTAGTGGTTAAATTACACTCAGTTATGCAACCCATGATGCTTGTTATAATACTTCCTCCAAGCATAGACTGATAGTCCATGATCTTAAGATGAACTACCACAATAACATCTGAAGAGGCTTACCCTCCAGCCCCCAAGATGTAGAAGGAAAATTCATTACTCAGCACCAGAAGAAAATAATAGGACTTACCCGAATTGAACTGGCAGTAAAATGGCCAAGATCTGCAAACATAGCTTCAGTACCTGTTGAACCGGAAAAAAATAGTAATTTTCAGAGTCAAGAGATTGTATTCACATGGTTTTAGCAGTAGAAACAATAAGTGGACACATTTTGAACTCTAAATTAACAAGTAATTACATTCTTCTCTGTTTTAGCCAAACTAACATTACGTTCAGTTTTGGAAAAACATTCACCCTTATTGAAATAAAAGACACGGGTTCTCCAGAAAATACAAT